CCAAAAGTGCGAAAGCAGGCGGAAACTGCTGAGACAACGGCGAAGGTCCCTTCCGAGAAGACGGGCGAGCAAGGGGGGGCGCTACCCTCCACTCAGAAGCAGGAGGGCTCACAAAACCTGGCGGGAGACATCGCGGAGGAAGGTGAGATGAGGACCACTTCTCATGAGCCGATCCTGTAGTGGGGCCGCGCTTAGAAGTTGCCCAGCTGAACCTGCCACCACGCGGCGTCGTCTCGGCGGTTATCGTGAGCAGGTCACGATGGATGGACTGGGCATACTAGTGATCCAGGAGCCATGGTCAATAAAGGAGAGGTCAGGGTCATGGAGTCAAAAAAGAATTCTGGGATCTCTCAAGTGAGAGACCTAGAACCTGCATATACTTAGGAACGGTATTGACTTCTTCTGTATTTCAGAGTTCCAAACTCAGGACCTGGTCGCTGTGAAGTAAGGAACGACGAAGAAGCGACTCGTGCAGCGCCCTATTTTCCGGGAGACTCCGACAGCACCCCAGTGGCAGTCGGCAACCTGGTAGAGTACTGCAGGCGGAATAAGCTGCTCCTCATCATGGATTGTGACGCAAATGCCCACCACGCTGAATGGGGCAGCACGGACTGCAAACACGGGTGAGTCTCTTATTGTATTTATAGCTAGTAAGAATTTAAGTATAGCAAACGTGGGTGCGAACCCACCTTTTAACTAGTGTTAGAGGAGATGCTTGACATCATCTCAGTAACGAGTCTGAGACAGGGCTGAGGGGTCACCAGAATCCTCCATGTCGGATCACCGTCATTATAAGATTTGCACTGGGGTTGGAGTAAACAACTTCTCCCAAGCGTATCCCTAGAACACGGACTGGGTCGCTTTTAGGGACTCGCTTGTAACAAATGTTAGCAGTAGGGTGCAGCTGGATAGGAGTGGACGGCTTCTGATTGGAGAGCAGACTGTCTGCCCTAAAACCAATCCATTATAGAGCATATTCACGCAGCTGTCCCCTTAAAGACAACGACCAAGAGCCGTAACCGCTCCTGGTGGTCTAGTAAGCCAGTGCTAAGAAAAACGGTACGCATCTATTCAATAAGGCTAGCGCACCGGAAACTAGGAGGCTTACATATGCAGCCTAACTGCTTATTAATAGGAGATCCGCAAAGCAGAAGAGCTTCAGGAAGTTCTGTGAAAGCGTCTCCTCAGCCCCAGAGGCAGCTAGGCTGCATAAGGCTATGGCTAGGGGTAAGACACAGTACTAGCGATCAAAAGATCTGATGGGACCTATACGTCCAGCGCAGAAGAAAGAGCCACTGCTCTTCTACTTGCGCATTTCCCGGAGACGATTCAAGAAGACCATATCCGACCTATGGTCGAACGTAGGCCATCACGCTTGGACTGGATAGTCGCAAAACAGCTCTTCACTGCAGACTCCATCAAGTGGGCTTTGGCCTCCTTTGAAAAATATAAGTCCCCGGGTGCGGATGGTATCCTTCCAGCTTTTCTGCAACAGGGGAAGCAGGTGCTACTGCCCCACCTTGTTCGGCGGACCGAATATATGAGACTTGTTAATGAGGTGCAGGAGGACGTGTACATTTAAATGGAAGACTCTGTTAACTATATCGTATCTGTCTTGTGGAGTTGAATTGGTGTTTATATTTTCTTTGATTTCCGGTTTAACCCACGCTCAACAACTTGCTTACTCTTAAAAGAGGTCATTTGAAATGCGTTATTATAACGGCGTATATTGCGCATGAATTGTTTGGATTTCTGATGATCACCCGTAAGAAGAGAGTGAAGTGGTTCAGGTGGGGGGAGAATTTCTTCTAATTTGACTTTTTCTTGTAAGCAACACATGCTTTTCGATTCGTCCTTGAATTTCAATGCCAAGCAATGTTACCACACTACTGACATAGTACCTATTGATGCTATACGATCGTCCTTGTAAGAAATCTAAGGATCGTAATTCATAGCAGAATTTTCCTTATTTACCCATGAATTAGTAACTCGTGCTGATGATTCTCTGGCTTTATGTATTCGATGTCTATCCCTATCTCGGCTGCGGCGAACCTCACGCTCTACTGAAGATTATCTCTCTCTCAGCTCTATATCTATCCCCAGCCTGACTGGGACGAGCCTCACGTTCCATTGACGATTCTTCATCTCTTGCTAAACGTACTCTTCTGGCATTCACAGTACTTCGACCTATGTTCGAACGACAACGTTTTCCAGACATGACTTTATAATTTCTGTACAAAATTTACTCAGTTCTATATGTATATAACCTATGCACAATCATAAAAAACAAAAGACACCTATTTCATTCAGTTCGTTTTTTAACTGAAATACCTCAACTTAAACTACAATTTTACTAAGTATTGTTGTTTTACTGGCTAGAGAGTTCCAATAATAAACGCGCCCGATCGCTGCTAAATTCAAAGTGCTATAGAGCGAACTGCGGCCTCCGACGCGCTATTTATAGACACGCTCCCGCCGCCCCGACCGGCAGGTACCGCCGCAAACGCTACATCCCGCAATTTTAAAATCTGTAATAGTAAATTAAATGTAAATCGAAAATCTTTATATAAATCATATGCTATAAAGGGCCATATAGAGCTATTATGTATTTAAGGTATTTAATTGGATAAGAATTACTGCTGTATTGATTTTATATTATATGATATGGTTATATGATATTATTTGTCGTAAAAAGTAAATGACAAAAAAATGTTATTGTGGGATATATTGTATTTGTAATGCCCTGGTTCTATGCACAGATGTTAAACATCTCTATAGACTTGTACCAGATGAAATAAATAAATAAATAAATAAAATATCCATAAGAGATAGACATATACTATCGCGGAGTTTTCTGTACACCTTTTCAATGTGTACAATACTTAGTACATTATTTTGATAAATCTCGTAGGGTTCAGCCTGCGTTTGTAATGAAAAAATGTATTATTTACAACATTACATTAGAAACTTAAAAAAAAAAACATATAATATATATATATATATATATACATGTAAACCTTCCCTTTGAATCAATCTTTCTATTAAAAAAACCGCATCAAAATTAGTTGCGTAGTTTTAAAGATTTAAGCATACATAGGGATATAGAGATAGAGAAAGGGGCTTTGTTTTATACTATGTACTGATAATCTGCAAATAAGATATATGTGATATAAACTCAACCGAAGAAGCTAAATTTAATATATTATATTTAGTTGATGTGAAAAACGTTAACCAGAGAATCGGAATTCATTATATTGGCGATATGGTGTTTATTCAAAGTCTAGACCAATTTCATTCACATTCGGCGCTAAACCACACAATTTTTAGGAAAGCTTGTCCACTTAATTGCATTAAAATATCACATATTTTGACCAACCTAAGCGGTTTAAAGCGAAGTGTATGTCGGAAATCACTATACGAGTATAAATATGGGGTAGAAATGGGTATGGGCTTGTTGCATTAACCTTTGACATTCTCAGATTAACTCGAAAACATATATTCAACAATTTCATAAATAAATAACTCACACACTAACCGAAATATTCGTCATAAAGTTTGTTAGAGTTATTATATGTATTTATTATAATATAATTTCATATATTTTCGGCATTAACCCATTACGGCCTGCCCATAGAAGTTTTCTACTTTATGGGGAAGTTTACATAGCTGAAAGAATTTTCTTTTCGAAATTTCAGGTTTGTACGTAACCTAATGGGCTAATCAGTCTTCATAGAACACCTAAAATTTAATATCTATGGCAACCTGTTGATCGGCTGATCATCAAGTGTCAATTAAAATCAGCTGAGTTACAAAGTGGATTTGCAATTGTAAAATAGTGCGGGTGTTGAAATTTTGTAATAACTGAAGTAAAAACTCATAAAATATATAAAAAACGGAAATTTTGAACATGCAAAGAACTGCAGGCGAATGTGGACAGCTGGAGCGACGATGATGAGCTTGGACGGCATGCAGACAAAATCAATATAGTCCTTATGCCACCAGACGGTATTGATGCGATCAGTGACAATCTTGAAGACGACGAAGACATCAGTTAGCAGTAATCTAAATTAAAACGGGATCTCACTGATGGTGAAGTTTTTGCGAATGTTGAAATACAACCACCGAAATGGCGTCGTAACAAAAATTACAAGTTTGAGAATCCACATGTCGAGAAACTCACTCAGAAATTATATGGAAAAATTGGTAAGAATTCTCAAATGACTATTTCTTAATGCAGTGTATACATATGTTATAATGTTGAAGGATCAGTAACTCCGCTCCAGGTTTGGGAATGATTCATGGACAAAGAGAGAGCTTCAGCTAATTGTAGACTAGACAAATAAGTATGCATCACAAAACAATGTGTACGGCTTTTTTTACATCAATTCAAGAGATTCGAACTTTTATTTGCATACTTTTTATGACTGGTTATCACACGTTGCCACAAATTGATGTGTCGTTTAAATACGCTTGGATATTTTACAACTGGCCCTTTTTGTGACAATCGCATCAATCGTGCTCCTTTATGAGACATGAAAGAAATGAAGAAGTCACAGGGACCATCCCTCAATTTTGTATTCGACAAAACTAATAACATATTAACATAGCTGTGAGCTGGAACTGTAATTCTGCAATAACCAGATTTTCAAACTATTCCATTCAGTGACTCCTTTTTGATTGCCTTTTATATTCTACAGGTAGTAGTAGTACTACATTGATGAGTAATTTTTTTCAGATATTCCAATGTGTCGTGCTAAAAGATACGATCGGAAAAATCGAAAAATGATGATTATTGACCAACCCTTCTTAATACTCGAATATAATCATCGGATGGGGGGCTTATTCGTTGACTCATTCGACAATGCTATGAACAACTACCGCATTAAGGTACATGGAAAGAAATGGTACTGGCCGTTGCTTATCAATGCATTCGATGCAGTAGTGGTAAATAAGTGGAAACTAAAAATTGTATGTGCAAAATATGATAATGCTAAAGTTATGAGTCAAACTGACTTCCGCGTGGAAATTGCCGAAGCTTTAATAAATCAATCCGTTCCATGACGATCTCGTGGAGGGCGTAATGCCGTAATCTCGAGAATATCAGTAAATGTACAGACGTCTTCGATCATTGAATATCAAAACTGGACAAACGTTGCCACCAATGTTGAGGAAAAACTCAGTTTGGTAGCAGAAAATGTTATGTAATGCTTCATCCAAAACAACGACATAATGGGGAAGAATTTAGATTAAAACGATTAAAAATATGTATTTAAACAAAAAATAAAGTTTTATTTCACTCATTTTTGTCAGCATATAGTTCACACATCTGCCTAATGGGTATTTCAATACCCAATTAAGTATATTCCACTCCATGATCTTGGGATCGTAGGAATAAAACTGTTGATTTATTGACCCGATGCAACCCATTTTCGACATATGATACAAACATACTATTATCAGCAAAGGATTATCTCCAAATTTCATTTATACATCTCACTTATTGACCTATATTTTCAGTAAAAAGGCAGCAATAGGCACCAAGGTCCACATGTTCGATTTTTAATTAGCTTAAAGGCATTATTTGTGCAGAGTTTTATCCCGATATATGTATTCGTTAGAGATTGATTTGTACACTGAAAAGTGTTTGGAAGTTATGTTATTAGATGACAGCAATGAAACTACTGGACTCAAAAGGCAATATATTCTATATATCCCATTTAGGAATTAATTACAAAATATTTAATTACTACGATATTAAATGTATTTTTAAATTCGTTTATATAAGATCTCAATGGAGATTAATATATAAGTAACTTACTGTTTTCTCAAATAGATTGCAAATAAAACATCATCCAATTTTGACACCGGCTCCTTTTAAGCCCTGCCATACCATCCTGGGTGTAAAATTTAATGTTTCTGACGCTGATGATTTTCCATACCATATATGGGGAGTAGGCCTGGTTATAATCCAATTTTATCCATTTTCACACCATCGGCACCCCTACTTAGAGGATTTTCTCTAACCGAATTTGGTTATTGTAGCCTTAGTTGTTTAGTTGATATGTATGTACATTAAACTTATTATAGGGCGGGGCCACGCCCATTTTTTTTTTATTTTTACTCACACGTTTCGCTCGATACTGTGATCTCCTGTGCCAAATTACGTGGCAGTGGTTCAATTAAGCCCATCTGCAATACCGGTCATGATGATCATTTATATATACATATGTAATAGAAATAGGTGATAGAAACAACCGTTATTTGAACAAAACTATTATACTCTGTAACAACATGTTGCAAGAGTATAAAAATGCTCCGTAAGAATTCAACATTCATTACTCAACATAACCGTGAATAGATTACAATATAATTTATGTTATAGGTAAAAGACTCCAATAATTTTATTACTATATTTTATCATATGCTGATGTTTAAAACGTACTTAGGAATAATTATTTACAACATTTAATTTTGTTAATTAAAAAAAATAACAACTCACATGGGAAAATACATGTACAATATATAAGGCAAATGGACAATTAGACAAATCAATTCAGTAAAGATCATCTTAAGACCAGCGTTCCAAGTATATTTTTTGTATTTTTTTTTTGTTTATTTGGAGTGTAAACGTATACATGTTTCTATGTGACAACTTAACTGCAAGCCACATACAATTGTCCGCATGAAAAACATGAATTTTCCAAATTTAAATCGGCAATACGTTAGTTAAAGATTGACCTTGTGCTTTTTTGATCGTTATTGCAAAGGAAATATAATCCGCTTGAATTCGAACGATAAAGCGTTGAAGATCATCGGTATTCGTTTGAATCCGCCACCGATAGTTGTTGCTTCGATTAAATTTGGTGACAATTTTTTAATTGTCAATCTGGTTCCGTTGCACAATTTAGGTGCATTCAAATAGCAAATGAGCATTATCGGTGATTCAATCTTTAATGCTAATATGTGCGGTGGCTTTCAGGGTGGTTCCAATGAATTTAAAAATTAAACTGGATAATTGACAGATAGTAATTCGTCCATTACGGCGTCGATCGATTTGTATTATTGTATTGTTAAAATCATCATTTTTAGTGCCAAATTTGCACGTTCGGAAACTCCATCTGAATTTTTGTAATTAGTTGTTAAGCTTGGAAATACCTTGTCGAATATTTGGTTGAATTTGACAGAAATTGTGTGGAAAAGAAATCTCATTAGTTGGCGGAAGTCTCCAGCAAGAAGAATATGAGCACCTCCATTGGTTGGTTATTTCCTCGAAAACAGGCAAAGCCCTGTCAAGTACTGCAAGTGATTTCTTATGCTAATATTGCATGTTTGGTTTAAAATTAAATGAAAGCTTGAATGCTGAATGTCGGGCCACTACCACACCCACAAAATACCATTAATCGAAAACATATGAAATGCCACAATTAAGCACTAAATTAAGATATACACCTGTAATTTGGTAGAGGGAATTTCATTAGGAGGGTCTTATTTGGGTAATTTTTTTTTTTTTTTTAATAGCGTAATAAATTTATTAAAAACGAATATATCTCATAAACCATACGAGCTATATGACCCAAATTTGCACAGAATAAATAGTTTTGACTCCTCCTTCGACATCCGAGATATTACAAGAGGATTTTATAGGAGTCGATGTCAAAATTGGACGAAACCGCCTACATTTAGGTGAAAGCACATATCTCCGAAACAGGCGAAATCGGGCTATAACCAAGCTTACTTCCCATATAGCACAATTTTAAACTCCATATGATTCATATGATACACTCTCCAGTATACAAATCAAGCATCAAAGAATATATCGTTAGTCTAAAAATTGTCAACATCGGACCATAACTGTTGAGAGTCCCCCTTTACCGAAAATGGGGACCCCAGTGCCTGGAGCAAACTTTTACTAAAATTAACGGTCAATCTGTAAGATATATTATATCTTAAATGGACGGATTTTTCTTTAATCGTGCATGTTTGTGCCTATATTGTGTAAAATGGGGTGAATACTACACCATATAACTAATCACGGAATTTTCAAATATCCAGGTGATTTTACTCCATATACATATGTGGGTGATGATATGTGAGATACCTTAATAGCCAGCTCATACACAGATTATTTTGTAACCCAAACCGGTTTATTGTGGGCGAGGGGACGACGGGGGAAGACGAAGGGACCGTACCACTCGTGCTCGGGTGGCACGCTTTGTGTTCTTTCTCGTAACAGCTCGCTGCTACCCTTTTCAGCATTCCTTTTTACTTTCAAATTCTTTGAATGGTTGCAAGAGCCTTCGGTTTCAAATGAATATATACCAGTCGTTCAGAAATTTGAATTCTGTTATCTATTTTTTATATGTAATATGCAAATATGTATGCATAGAATAATAGAAATATTTTGAAAAATTATAAATGAGGAAAAAATTAATATACTCAAAAATATTTATTTATTTCATCTGGTACAAGTCTATAGAGATGTTTAACATCTGTGCATAGAACCATTACAAATACAATATATTTAACAGCTTATCTCCCTATATTATTAATATATTAGTATAGATAATAGTATATTACACTAAATATTGCGTAACAAAGTTATACACATAAAAATTATAAATTATACCAAGTAAGAGCAAAAATGAAGCACTTAATAGATAGCTAAAATTTACTATATTGATTAGTTGTTTATCCAGGATTTTAGATTTTTGTTAAGAGATTTTTTTTACAATTCATGTTAGAATCTTCAAATTATTAGGAAGCATGTTAAAGTACTTAATTGCTATATAATTACATTTTTAATGCTACTTGACTTTTTAATTTTTGGTAATGTTAGAGTATTAGCTCTAGTTTGTACTTGTTTAGTAAGATATTTTGATTTACACTTCTCATAGTATTGTATTAGAGCCTTTAAAAATTTTCTTGATGTCAAGTGGCAAATTAGTTTCATAATTGTTTTTAAAGAACTTTAATAAACGGTTTTGCATTTATGGTATAGGCTGCAGAGCATTTTTGTAGGCTCCACCCCAGGCAATTCCGTAATTGATTACACTTTCGAAAAGTCCATAGTATATAGTTTTTAAGATTTTTATGTCAACCCATTTACTCCGTTTGAAAAAGAGGAAAGCAAAGTATCTGACTTTTTTGGCCAGCTCGTTCACATGAAAATTCGATTTCATATGTGTATCAAAGTACAGACCCAGATATTTGCTGTAATCTACTCTTGAGAGATCTCTGTTGTTTATATATAGTATATAATTGACAGGTATACTATCACAATAACTGCCAAAAGTGATGTATGTTGACTTGTCTATGTTAAGAGATAATTGATTACTTCGTAGCCATTTATTTAGTATCTCCAACCATCTATTCAGGCGTGTTTTAACTTCATTCCAATTTTTACCAGAGCAAAGCACTGCAGTATCATCAGCATAGGCTAAGAGAGCCATTTCCGGTAGAGTATTGAAGATGTCATTTATATACATGATAAACAGCAGAGGACCCAATATTGTGCCTTGTGGCACACCAACTTTTACATTAGTTGTTGTACTTATACAATTATTGATTTTTACACATTGTTCCCTTTCGTGAAGGTAGTTTTTAAGTAATTGGTGAGGTATTCCTCTAATCCCAAGCCTCCAGATCTTATCTAATAGTATTTCGTGATTTACAGTATCGAACGCTTTTAACGTCTAGAAAGACTAGGACAGATGGTAAATTTTTATCAATATTTTTATAAAGAATATCTGATGTAAGAGTTAAAGCATCACTGGTACCTCTATTTTTCATAAATCCAAATTGGTTCGGAGAAATTAAGCTATTTTTACTACAGAAATCATAAAATCGGATATATATTATTTTTTCGAATATTTTAGCAAGGTTTGAGATTAGAGAAATATGCCGATAGTTATTTGCTAAGTGTTTGTCCCCGGATTTATGTATAGGTATAATATCAGCTTTTTTTAAGTACAGAGGGCCAAATAGCTTTATTTATACATATATTGAAAATATGCTCTAAAGGTATACTAATATCTTTGGCTATAATTTTAAAAATCTTACTGCTAATGCCGTATACACCACCCTTTAATTTCTTTTATGATTTTGTCAATTTCAGTATAACTAGTTGGAGTAAGAAACATACCATTAGGGTTATGCTTAACATTTTTGTTTATGTCAATTGATAAAAGTTATAAACTCATCAGCAATAACCTGGTGTTCGGATATGATTTCATCATTACATACTAGATAATAAGATAATATTCAATTTAAATATTTAATAACATATACCGGTATTAAATGTAATAATATAGGA